ACATGATGGCCCCCCCATAACCAACGGTGCTTCTGGCAGACTAAAAAGTAAAGAGAACAAAAATGGTAGAAATTCTACAGTGCACACCTCCTGGCACTATAGTTGTTGGGAGTGTTGAAGTACCCAGCTAGGGATACTAGCTCTTCTTAGTCTCTTTGGGAGACGGACCGGTCTTACAGTAAGAGGTAAACAAAATTAAAAAAAATGAAATAATGTACTTTAACTCTGGGTTGTCATATGGAAAATATTCAGTACTGGAGGAATAAAAAGAACTGTTCAAATCACAGATTGTAATTTAAGAATAGAATAGAATTCTTTATTGGTCAAGTGTGATTGGACAAACAAGGAATTTGTCTTTGGTGCAAATGCACCAAATATTTCCCATAGGAAAATATAAAGCTCCAGGTAAGCCACAAATTTGCTGACCTTTCCTAACTAGAGAAACCTCTACTGTAAAGGAATTCCGAATGACATAAAACATGGAGTTACTCAATTTGTACAAAGAAAATAAATGATTATAAGAGACAAAATATTGAGGCACATACAGCAAATTAAACTTAACACATAATTTCCAGCTAGGCTTCTTTGTTATTTCTTAGAATAAAGTGCTACTTGAATGTTCCCTATTAAGCTTTTTTGCATTTTTATCTATTCGATACAGATTTTATTTTGTAACTCTTCTTTATTCATCCCCCTCCCCCATTCTTAGCTTCTATCTTAGTCTTAGTTATGTTTTAAGGATCAAAACATTTCTGTCTCGCAGAAAGGGAGTGATTTGGGAATAGTCTGCCTGCCCGCAAGGTCTCAAGCCAATCCTCACTTTGAGAACATTGTGTAGAAACAGAGCAACATGCATTCCTTGTTTGGAAAACAAGCTGTTGTTCCTGTCAGTACCAGGTGGCATCACAAAAAAAGGGTACTGCTGATAAAATTAAGTTTAAATGATGTCAGATGAATGTAACATTCTGGGGAAAATGAGTAATCTATAGTTTCCTCTGTAAATCATCAGCAATGGATTGACTGATTAGGCACTATTTTTCAACTATTTTGATAGTATCAGTTCTAGCTTGACTGATACGTGCAGAATGTTAGATGTATTCTTGTAGCTGTGAGTTTGTACACATCCAGTTCATTTTCTTGACTAAACTTTGAAAAGGCTTTCTGGCATTTTATGGTAGATTAGGCAGTTAGTACCATGTTGGTTCAAAAATTATGTCATTCCTCTCAGCTAACAGCCATCATTTGATATGATGGCTTGAATCTTTTGTTCAGTGTTTGATATGGAATTATCCAAGGAAATATGAAAAAAACCTATAACTAAAATGTATAGTTTGTCTTTGATGAGTTGTGTTTGAAATAACAATAGCACTTAGACTTATATACCCCTTCACAGTGTTTTACAAGCCTCTCTCAGTGGTTTACAAAATCAGTGTATTTCCCCCAACAATCTGGGCCCTCATTTTATCGACCCAGAAGGATGGAAGCCTGAGTCAACCTTGAGCTGGTCAGGATCGAAAGAATCAAAATCCTGACAATGTG